CCCTCCCCCGTTCATGCTCTGTCTCTCTCTGTCCCAAAAAAACAAAAAAACAAAACAAAACAAAAAAACACACCAAAAAAAAAACGTTGAAAATAAATAAATAAATAAATAAAATGTTTGCTCCCGGGGCACCCGGGTGGCTCAGGCAGTTAAAGCATCCGACTTCGGCTCAGGTCATGATCTCACCGTTTGTTAAGTTCGAGCTGTATGTTGCGCTCTGTGCCAACAGCTCAGAGCCTGGAGCCTGCTTCAGATTCTGTGCCTCCCTCTCTCTCTACCCCTCCCCCCTTGTACTCTGTCTCCCTCTCTCTTTCAAAAATAAACAAACATTTAGAAATAAAATAAAATGTTTGCTCCCTTTAGTTCTTTCTTTCTTTCTTTTTCTTTTGGAGGCACTGCTGGGATTCCCTTTAGGTTTTAGAAAGAGGCACAGCCAATTTTATAAATTGGGTGTTATTATAGTATATGTATATATGAATATGTTATGCATGTGTATTTCTTACAAACTGGATATTACTATATATTATGTATTGGATAATGTTAAATGCAGCATATGGCACATAAATATATATTAATATATACTCTATGAATATGTGTATTACTTGCAAATTGGACATAATATTGGAGATTATATATATATATCCACTTTATCAGGAGTGTTTTCCTATGTGATATTCTTTACGAATATGATTTTTTTTTAAATTTTTTTTTCAACGTTTATTTATTTTTGGGACAGAGAGAGACAGAGCATGAACAGGGGAGGGGCAGAGAGAGAGAGGGAGACACAGAATCGGAAACAGGCTCCAGGCTCTGAGCTGTCAGCCCAGAACCTGACGCGGGGCTCGAACTCACGGACCGCGAGATCGTGACCTGGCTGAAGTCGGACGCTCAACCGACTGCGCCACCCAGGCGCTCCACGAATATGATTTTTAATGGATACTTATTCCAGCATCATTATATAAACCTGACCAAATCTATCATTTGCTTAAATCTTCCTGAGGGGACTCAGTCCTGTTCAGGTCAGCACCCAGGGACCCTCCTGAATGGGCAGGTGCTTCCAGCTCCTCCCAGCCCCCACCCACAGCTGCAGCCACCACTGTCACCCCATCAAGGCTACCTGCAATTCACTCTGCTGCCAATGCGTCTTCTGCCTTCACACCCCCTCCCCCGCCAGAGGCGTCAGCCCAGGTAGCACTTGCCTGGGATAGTTGTCTTTGTCACCAGTCCAGCCCCTCCTGGATATGGGAACTCCGTCTTTCTGGGCTTCCCCCTGCTCTGTCTACTCTCCGCCAGGCTCTCAGAGAATCAAAGGAGCGACAAGCAGTTTGAAGACCAGACAGGAAACTCTTCGATCCAGATGGGAGAGTCCCAGGAGTCCACCTCGGAGCCGGTCAGTGAAGGATGTGCCTACAGCATCCCAACCCCACAGACTCAGCCCAGGTGACCTGCTGGGGAAAGTTGGTGTCCCCCATCGGTGACCTGAGGAGGGAGAGAGAGAAAGGGGGAGGGGAGGAGAGGTGGGATGGGGAGGGAGGAAGGGGCAAGACGTGCCACCAGACTTCCGCTCTACCTGCTGGCCTTTACTACTCTGCCTCTCGGTGTCTGGTGTCCAAACCTCCCCTCCCAGACTCAGGGCATCCTGGATCCCCAAATTCCTGGAGAGAAAGGGAGATTAGGAGGGGAGGCTGGGTGGTCTACATCCAGAGGCGGTGGGGGGTGGTGGCCGGGGAAACAAGATGGCTGGCGCCCCGAGAGGTTAGGAGCTGGGGGCTAGGGCCACTGCATCCCCCTTTACCCGCCACTGACGCGCGAGTCTGGAGAAGACCGGTCGCTTCTGTGGGCGTGGCGAGGCAGGGGGGCTGCCTGCGCGCGCGACAAAGGTCGGAGTTTCTGCGGGGAACCACCGCTATTGGGGCCAGCCGTGATTTTAATATTTCGCTGCAGCCATAAGGCGATTTAGGCAATTCACCCTGGAGATGCTCACAACTGAGCCCAGCCCCTAGGCGTGCCTGCCCCTGTTGATTCATTCTTCTGGGCTTCGGGTCCATAGCCCACATCCCATTGCCTGCGTCTGGGCCCCATCACTCTGCAGAGTGACGCCTGCCCCGCGGTTTCGCGGGCAGAAACCCGACGATCTGAGTCCTTAAGTGTGAAGCGAGAACCAGCGGTTCTCCCCACCCCACCTCCATCCCTTACTCCTTGGAGCATCATCTCTCCAAGCTTATTCTTCGGGTTAGAGCCCAGGGGTCACCAGCTACCTGCCAGATTCGGCCTTGCAGTGGGCGGAGTGATGTCACCGGTTGCCAGGCAGATTTCGTCTGGCTGGTAGACTTCATGGTTAACACATTTTGCGGACGGAGGTAAGGGGAGAGCCAAGATAGGAACAGAGGGGGGCCTGTTTTAGAGTTCACGTTCTTAGCCACTGTGCCATAAAGATTCAACATTATGTAAAGCTTCAATATCTAAAAGAGGGGGGAGCAGGTTCGCAGTAACCTGATGGCGTAGACTACAAAGTGTAGACGAGGACCTGGGTACTGATGGAAATTAGGATGTGATAAAGTGGAATTTCAAATGGGTGGACAAAACATGAATTATTCAGTGATTGGGTTGAAACAATTGGCACCTGGGAAAGATTATGCTCCTTACATCACAATACATTTCAGATGGGTCAAGGATCACACTATAAAAGATGAAAACATAATTCACTAGGAAGAAACATGGGCAGACATTTCTATAATCTTGGCACGGGGAAGGGCTTTCTAAGGATAACATAAAAACAAGAATCCATAAAGGAGAAATTTGGTAAGTTTAACCATATAAAAACGAAATCTCTGTAGGGAAAATAATAAGAAAAGGGATGGGCTAAATGTGTAAGGGGCATTAAGGAATCTACTCCTGAAATCATTGTTGCACCATATGCTAACTAACTTGGATGTAAACTAAAAAATAAATAATTAATTAAAAAAATAAGAAAATAAAACAAATTAAAAGGCATCAAACTCATAAAATTTCATTTATAACAAAAAGCTTAATTTCCCTAATATACCAAGAATTTTTAATTTTTTAAAATATTTATTGATTTTTGAGACAGAAAGAGAGAGAGAGCGAGCGAGCAGGCTGGGGAGAGGCAGAGAGAGAGGGAGACACAGAATCTGAAGCAGGCTCCAGGCACTGAGCTGTCAGCACAGAGCCTGACTCGGGGCTTGAACTCATGAGCTATGATCATGACCTGAACCGAAGTTAGAGGCTTAAGTGACCGAGACCCCAGGTGCCCCTTCATTTGTTTCTTAAATTCCACATATGATTAATCTCATATTTTTAATACTATAGTTTCTCCGTGCTACATTGATGGTAATTTATTTCCAATTTATATGTCTCTTTCTAGTTTTCTAATTGGTTATTTAACCCATCCATTGATGTTTTTAATCTTTGTGATTTTTCACTTCTTTTTGGTTCTTTTACAAATACCCTGATCATTTCTGAGTCTTTTGTATCTTGTTTTTAATTTCAACTCTTTTTGTCTTTAAATATACTAAGCATATTGAGTTTATATTATGTACCTGTTAATTCCAGTACATTAGGTTTTTGAAGGTCTAATTCTACTACTTTTTTTTTTCTTCTAATCTTCCCTTAGGGTACCTTTTTCCTTGCATATTTTGTGATTTCTTTTTGTGACCTCATGTTCATGAAACGCTATGGGGCTTGGGAGAGGTTGTGTTTCCCCCAGAGATTATGTATATTTACTTATGACAGGTGCTGGAGGCAAGGTTGCTATCCACTGGCACCTTTTATATTAATCTCAACTGGGTTTTTCAGACTATACATGTGTGAATCTGAACCAAAATTCCATGTGAGAGAAGGTTTTGGGTTACAAATTCTCAAAAAAAAAAAAAAAAGACATTATTTGCCTGCTATCAGAAACAGAACCAATACGTACATATTTTCTTGCTATCTAACCCTTTCATAGCTTTCTATGTGTGGGGATTTCCTTTTCTTCCATGAACCCAAGTTCTTCTTTAGTCTTCACCTAAACTTTAAACCCCAAATCTCTAAGTTCCTACACTGGCATTTACTAGCTTTAACCCTTGCTGAATTCAAGCTTAGGTTTAATTTTTTTTTAAATGTTTATTTATTTTTGAGAGAGAGAGGGAGAGAGAACACGAGCAGGGGAGGGGCAGAGAGAGAGGGAGTCACAGAATCTGAAGCAGGCTCCAGCTCTGAGCTGTCAGCACAGAGCCCAATGTGGGGCTGGAACCCATGAACCATGAGATCATGACCTGAGTCGAAGTTGGAGGCTTAACCGACTGAGCCACCCAGGCGCCCCAAGCTTAGGTTTAATTTTTTTTTTTAATTTTTTTTTAACGTTTATTTATTTTTGAGACAGATAGAGACAGAGCATGAGCAGGGGAGGGTCAGAGAGAGAGGGAGACACAGAATCTGAAACGGGCTCCAGGCTCTGAGCTGTCAGCACAGAGCCCGACACGAGGCTTGAACTCACGGACCGCGAGATCGTGACCTGGCTGAAGTCGGACGCTTAACCGACTGCGCCACCCAGGCGCCCCTAATTTTTGAACCTCTTGAAGATTTCCCTTAATTTCTTCTAAGCTCATCTATGCATTTATTTTTTTCAACGTTTTTTTTTTTTTTAATTTATTTTTGGGACAGAGAGAGACAGAGCATGAACGGGGGAGGGGCAGAGAGAGAGGGAGACACAGAATCGGAAGCAGGCTCCAGGCTCTGAGCCATCAGCCCAGAGCCCGACGCGGGGCTCGAACTCCCGGACCGCGAGATCGTGACCTGGCTGAAGTCGGACGCTTAACCGACTTCGCCACCCAGGCGCCCCTACTCATCTATGCATTTAAAGAGGATTGTTGGGGTGCCTGTGTGCCTCCGTCGGTCAAGCATCTGACTCTTGATTTCAGCTCAGGTCATAATCTCACAGTTCATGAGTTCGAGCCTCACCTCAGGCTCTGCACTGTTAGTGCTTGGGATCCTCTCTCTCCCCTGCATACTCACTCTCACTCTCACTCTCTCTCACCCAAACAAATAAACTTAAAAAATTTTAAAGAAATAAAGAGGATTGTTGAAATATACTTGATGTTATACTTTAGGCGTCTTAATCTATGGTGTGTCTTGTTTGTCTTATTTTGTTGTCATATTGCCTTCAATGAAGTCCTCCTTGAGTCTTCAAACTCTGAAGTTAACCTCTACTGTCTCCCTCATTCTCTGGCAAATATCCTTCCTTCAGGCTCCTAGACCACCTTAGGAAAAATATATAATGTTGGATAAAGGTTTAAGCTCCTTGGTAGGCTTGGTAAATTGATCAGCTATTCCTGCTTAAGAGAGACAGGAGGAAGTCACCAATTAGCAGATAGTTAACCACTTTGCCATAATCGGTAACTCCACTGCTTTCTGAGACTATGGTCTCTTATCTGTTTCCTTACAGGAAGGGCCAGGCAGAGAGGGCCTGGGATTCTAGCATTTGAATTGAACAAAGTCAATGGAAGGCAAGAGTGGGAGTTGGGCATTTTTTTTTTTTTTTCATGACGAAAGCAAAGTTTCACGGGTACTAGCACCATTTTTACCTTAGTTTCGTAGGGATCAGACCTGACACGTACCACCAATTCCAAGAGGAAGGCAGCCTAGGAGAAGTAGGGGTCAGCCGTCACCATCAACCAAATACTGGAGGTCAAAGAACACTATTATTATGTGTCTGGTGAGGGCAAGTGTAGGAGATGCAGAGAATGACTGCTGTGTTAACCTCCATCTGGCCAGAAAAACTTTCCCAGTCCAGGAAAACAAAACATCTTTGAGTCCAGTTACATTAGCAATTGCTACTTTTACCTTTTCTAATGTCAAGTTGCCAGCCGGGGAGTTCCACTTTGAAAAAAAAAAAAGTGATGTTTTGCCAAATAAACCAAGTCTTTATTTCCAAGATGAATTACTCACATGGCAGAGAGGTTTTTCCCTGGTTATTTATCCATTTTATCAACCTTTTGACTTTGCATCACCTGAAGCCGTGGATGGGGCTTCACGAGTTCCCTTTAGCTTCAGGTTTGAAGATAACTGTGACCTTACTGTGAATCATGGAGACTGGAAAAGCCACATCAATGAGTGTGTACAGGAAGTAGGCAGGGATAGGCAAGAGGGTAATGACGATGGAGATGATGAGCAAGACTTTAGCCCATGATGGGTAAGTTCGGATCACCTCATTTGACTGTGGAGAAAGGGAAGATTTAGAATACCCAGTTTCTCTGAAGAGGAAGGCTACAGAGGTTGGGGGTAGGGACAAGAGACAAGAGACTAGATAACTGGGTCCCCAGGGAACCCGAGAATAAGGTGGCAGAGTCTTAGAGGCCAGAGAAGATCACAAAGGCCTCACCCGCTCCCTAAGGGGTTCTGGGGTCTGAGAGAGAGGCTCACAATGCTTGAGTCCCAGGCCAAGTAGGTGATGTTCTTCCGACACAGATGAATCAGGGTGTTTACAAACAGGACTAGCAGCACAAATGGAGACAGAAAGCACCACAGCCAACGAAAGATGGGGGAGATGGGGCGGCCCAACATGATAATCAGGTCTGCAAGGAACCTGGGAAGAAGGGCCACAAGGCTTTGGAGGGGCCTGTTCAGGCCTTTCCCAGCCTTGTGGAGGGGTCAATCCAAACCCAGCCTGGGAGACAGAGCTTCACGTTTCTTAAACGTTTCTGTTCACCTCCACAACCAGTTTTCTTCCCTCTAATTCATCTCGTTTCAGTCTGATCTCTGTCCCAGCCTCAGGATTAAAACAAAACAAAACAAAAAACAAAACAAAACATTTCTCTCCTCCATCACCCTCAGGATAAAGGCTGAGTTCCTAATGTAGTTTCTTCAATCCCACTTATCCAGCTTTCTTTGGTGCACCTTCTTAACCCCAACACATATGTACATTGGGTTCCTTTTGCCTAGAACACCCTCCTTTTTTCTTTCCCTTGACAAACTCCCCTCCATCTGTCTCGATTCTGTTCAAGCATCCCCTCCTTGCCTGACCCTTCAATCTTCTTGACATAACCATCTGTGTTCCCAGAGTACCCTCGGCTGCCTCTATCATAGGCTTACTACCCTGCCCCCCAAATCTGCTTACATACATCTCCTTTGGACTCCGAGAGCAGAAACTCGGTCTAATTTATCCCAGTATCCCCAGGGCTCACAAGGCCTGCCTGCCCCTTGGGCACACTCTGGGTAATATTTGAGAGTGAGTGTATGAATCAGCAACTGATGCCAAGAACCACTATCACCTAGAAATGCTGCCACATTTGGATCACACAATGCTTCTCAAATGTTAATGTGCAGACAATTTACTTGGGGTTCTTGTTAAAATTCAGATACAAAGGTCTGGGGTAGAGTCCAGGGTTTTATATTTTTAATAAACTCTCAGGCGATGCCAATGCTATTGGTCCAGAGCACATTTGAGAAGTGAGGGACTGTATGCCCACAGTACCCTGGTTAAAAGTAGGGCTCAGGAGCTGCTAGGAGTTGATATAGTCTGTTCACTGCTTTTCCATTTTACAGCTATTCTCTCCAGGCATCAGCCCAGGCCTTCCTCCTTCCCACCCTCCTGGGGGCTCTCCATAAGCCCTGGGATCAGAGACCTGGCAATGAGAGCAAGAGGGGCCGACACTCCCTAGAGACCCTAGCTGTGTGGGTGTATGGCTGGAGATCCTGGGCTTGGGGCATCACCTCCTGGCTCCATAGATCCAGGCCATGGCCACATTCTCCAAGATGACAATGAGGAGGAGGGGCAGAGATGCCCAGTAATCATCCAGCAGGTTCACATAGTAGCTGCCAGAAGGTCTCACAAAAATGAGGCTGCCCAGGAACATAAGCACACAGATGCCCACTGAAGGAAAACATCAGATTTGTATCAAGGTCCGAATTCAAACTAGGTTATAAAAGAGTCCCAGTGGGGTTAAGCTAGACAATGGCCATAGGTGGGAGTGGGGTCACAGGTCCGAGTACCTGTAAGCAGTTTTGTCTGTTTCCTGAGGGAAGCGAAGGTGTCCTGGAGAGGGGTAATAATGCCCTGCATGATCCCTATCATGGTGCTCAGCCCCAGGTTTGCCAGCAACATGAAGATGACGATGGCCCAGAGAGTGGATCCAGAAAACACAGAGATGGTATCAGTAATTGCCACAAAGGCCACACCAGGACCCTCCATAACCTGTGAGTGAAGGGAGGAACGGTAAGGGCTCTGAGCTCATTCTGTAGAACCCTAACTGCATTCTCCTCTCCTCCTCTAGGAAACGACCTGTAGCACTGTCGATGGACATTGTTAACCTCCTCTGGCCTTGAGGCATGAGGACTTCCTCCAACAACAGCTGCTAGTCTGGCAACTCTTTGGGGATGGGGTGAACAGGCTTATATGAACTCTAGTGCTTGGTGCTCTGGAGGCTACACCTGCATTATCACAGAAGGATACTGTGAACCTTGGTCCTGGTTGTTCAGGATGCTGCCGAGAATTGCCTTTCTGAATTCTAGAGGCACCTAAGGAGAGCTGACGTTTCTGGTGTGCTGGGGGCTTTGAAGGGAACATTTGGACCCCATCCCCAACCCCTACCTACCTCCTTCAATTGTTCAGATAAGTTGCAATTGGACAAATGGGGAAGGATCATGCTTTTCATTTGTTCAGGAAGGCTCTTGAACCATTTGGGGTAGATGGAGCTTGGCTCATAATACAGACTGTCTGGGGGCTGGACCTCAGGAGGCAGCACCCCGGTAACTATCAGATTCATCACTGTCTTGGCATTCCTGGGGACAGGGGTAGAATCACATAAAACCATTTGGCCCTTTAAGATAACTTCTCTCTTATCTTTCACACAAGAAGGAAAACCACTAGTCTGGAGTTTTTGATCTGGTTAATGTGCAGCCTGCACTGAAACCTGGGTCTCCAGGGTCCTGGCCCTCACTGCCTGACACCTACTTTCATAATGTGTCTGCGGGAGGCCACAGAGTTTCTGCCTTAAGACCTGGAGGGGTCTTTCTTAGAGTGTCATGGAGGGCTTTAGGACCTATACCTCCTACTAGACAATTTCAGGACGACGTTAAAGCTTCTCAGCTTCCTTGACCTGCTGGCCTCTCCAATCTCTTAATGTACAACTCTTCACCTTCTCTATTTTGGACATACTCAACCATTAAGGCTGCTTCCACTTGCCATGCTCCCCATTGCTCAGTTATCTCTGGCACGTGGTGTTCTCTCTGCCTAGCACCACCCACTCTGATCCCAGTCTACCCAAATTCTACCACTATACCATTCTCCATATGCAAATTCCTACACATCCTTACTCAGCCCCCCAAACTCTGTTTACTGCCATGGAAAGCTATTCAAGATTTACTTCCATAAGGGCAAGTCAACAAGCTGCAGAAAAGTAGTATGGTAGATCTTTTTAATGATATGTTTTTATATGTAGGTCTATGAATGGGAAACATTATGAAAGCATGCTAAGTGGTGGTTATTTGTCAGGATTGCCTCCACCGGAAGGTCTTCTCTGCCCCAGGAAGTTAGTGGTTTGCTCTTCTGTGTCTCTTCATCATCCCTTACTACCAGTTATCATCTACTTTGTGATTATCTTTAGCATCTGCTTCCTCAAAAGACTGTGGTTTTCTTTAGGGCAGGGATGGTGGTCTGCCTCACCATTGGTTGTGTTTCCAGAACTCAACACAGGGTTGGCAGATAGGAGGTGTTTTATAAATGTTTCATGGATATTTTTTAGAATGAATCTTATAGGAGAAGAAAATCAGGAATGGGCTCTGGGGGCTCTGGTGGTACTGTGGGTCTTTTTTTTTTTTTTGCCTCTTGTCTAATGATTCAGCTAAAGCTATTCTCCTAATTTTCCATGACAATCCCGTTAAGAATGGGGTGAACACACCATTGAAAACCTCTGAGTTTGGGGCTTTACTAGTTTAGAAAGGCAGCCCTGAAAGAGACAGAGTTGGAGCGATTCAGGTGTTTCTACAGTTTAGGATGCTCCCATTTGAGGGTCCCATACTGACTGAGCCTAGATGGGGGCCTAGGCTGGAATTCCACCAGCTATTTCTAAGACTTTGGTCTTTTTGATGATCTGCATATGAAATATTGGGCTCACTTTACGTAACATTTGTTGTTGTTCTTTGTGGCCAAGTGGCCCATTGTGGCAAATACAAACACCATGGCGGTCAGTGAGGCAACCAAGTTGAGAAGAGCCACAGCAAAGGCATCCATGACACAGTTGTTGGATCGAGGGATGTATGAGCTGATTGCGATGAAGCCGCCAAAGCCGTGGCCCATGGATAAAAAGATCTGGTTCCCTGTCCGGCGCCACACTTCCACAGAGTACAGAGCTGGCACCTGGGGAGAAGTACCATGCAAACTGGGATATAAAGTGAGGAGGGGTCTGTGATCTGATGGAAGATGAGGAGGGGGTGAAGGAGGGAACTAGGAGGACCTCTACCAGACTGACAACCATCCTGTCCCTGACACCCCCCCATGTGGGTAAGAGAATTCAAGGGCAGGGGACACCTCACCTGGGCAGCCAACAAACTGTCGAGACCAAATTTTGCACCCTCCAGCGTGAGACTCCGGATAAGGAGACAGAAAAGGATGAAGTAGGAAAGGATCACTGAGACATACAGCATCTGAGTGGGAAGTATGATTCAGAAACAGAGTTCAGCAAAGACAGACGCTGGGACAGTAGGATCAAAGGCTACTGAGTCAAAGGTCATATTAGTATGTGTTAGAAGGTAGAGGCCTACAGGCATCAGGTTAGGAGAATATTAGGGGGTCTCAGGTAGAAAGAAGTCCATCAGATTAGTAAGTTAGAGAGTGGCTCACCTTTCCAGAGGACTTGGGTCCTCTGATCATGGAGATGCAGATAATTAACCAGGTCACAAAGACAGAGACACTGAGATGCTTAACTGGTAGCCCACCCATTTCGATTTTGTCTGTGGCCTTCAATGCATTCCGGTACCAAAAGTACGTAGTGGATGTTGTCCGCACACATTCAGGATCTGAGGTGAACTGGGCATGGAGGAAGCTGCAAGACCACGTGACTCCCCCTTCCAATTCCCCTCCACCTCCTCCTTCCAATCTCATTCAACATCTTCCTGCTCATCCCAATTTTCTCAACAATCTTCTTCCTTCTTCATTTCCCTATCCTTTTTTCAGCCCTCCCAATTGCCCTTTTCTTCCCTCTCTTCTCACCGTAAGTACTGGAGTTCCTCAGTAAGGGGCACACTGACCAAGGCAGTGGAGACTGGAAAGACTGAACTAAATAGAAGAGACTCCAGGCCATGAGCACACTGTAGTACAAGCCCACAATGCAGCACACCTAGGGACCAAGGAGAATTCTGGAGACAGGAGAAGAAAGGTAGGCCAGCAGAAAGCAGGGGATCTGACAGAGGACTGGGAACTGAAGAGACTTGACCTGTGGAAGTGAAGTCATGGGACCCATCCCAGGACAAGGGTCAGGGTGGGAATGGGGTGTAAAGGGCAGGCCAGGGCAGCCCAGGACTCCTCACCATGAAGCTGGTATACCCCACACCACCAATCCAGGGGCTGATGACCTTCCATACACCAACGCTTCCCTGATGCATTCTCTGACCAGCTGCCATCTCCAGGAATAGAAGAGGAACCCCGATCAAGAACAGCATGAGGATGTAGATGATGAGAAAACTGCCTGTGCAAGGGAGTCAGGAGGGCTCTGAGAACCACCTGGGTTTTCAGTGCCTAGACTTCTTTGGGGGCCAGGAAAACACATTCTTCCTGCCCTCCGTGACCTCCCTCAGAGCCACAGGCATCAGGGCTCAACTGTTTCCACATCCCTCATAGTCCCAGGTGTCCCTTCTCCCCCAATTTCTGGAAGACCCAGATGCTTAGTTTCCAGCCCACCCTGGACCCAGGCCTCCAGCTCCACCATCCTCATGAACCTAATGTTCAGCTACCCTGCTCCCACCCACCCAACATCCTAGGTGTTCAGGTACCTGCCTCCTGTCCTAGTCAGGATCCCAAATCCCGTCCCCCCACCCCCCCACACACACACATATCTCAGAGACCTCGGAGTAGCAAGGACAGTCCTTTGGCTCCTCACCCCCTTGTGGGTCCATGATTCCTGGTCCCCAGGCTTACCACCTCCGTTGTGAAAACACAGGTAAGGAAAGCGCCAGATGGTGCTCAGCCCCACAGAGAAGCCCACCTGGGCCAGAAGGTATTCAATTTTATTGGCCCAGTATGGTCGATCAGGGGGGGCTTTATCCTTCAGTTCATCACTGTCTGTGGTCTCCAAAATTTCATCATTATCTTCATCAGACCAAATGTTTGGTGACAGAGTGTCAAGCTTCTGTCCCTTCCCCATCAATTCCTCAGTAGGCAACTCAGACTTTAATAGCTGGGGAGTTGAGGAAGTAATAGTCAAGGATTTGGAGTCCGAAGGTCTAGATGTCTGGGATTTCTCATCTTGGGCCTCCATGTTTTCGCTAACAGTTGTTATCCAGGGTGGACTCTAGTTCCTGCTTCTGCAGGGGTGAGGCCTCCTTCCTTGTTGACCTTAAGGACATCAAGAACTACAGACTTTAGATATATGAGCTAAGTAAAGACAAGACTAGTTGTACAAGAACCCCTGAGGCCTCCAAACCCTCTTATCCTTATGTGGATACGAACATGGAGTTCTCCACCCTTGAAAACATACCAAGGATATGCCTGCCTTTAGAAAATAATAATTTTAAGACAATACTATGTACAGTAATGCCAACAGACATAACATGTGTAACAATAATTTTAACAAAAGATGGGCAAGACCTTTACACACACACACACACACACACACACACACACACATTATTGAGAGAAAATAAAATTAAGGGATATAGCATGTTTGTGAACTAGAAGTCTTAATAGTAAAACAATGTCAATTATCCCCCAATTGATCTATAAATTCAATGCAGTTCTTATTGAAATCACACCAGGGTTTTTTTGGGGAAATTGACAAGCTGATTCTAAAATGTACATGGAAGGGCTCCTGGGTGGCTCAGTCAGTTGAGCAACCGACTCTCAATTTCAGCTCCGGTCATGATCTCACGCTTCATGAGATCAAGTCCCGCATCAGGCTCTGTGCGGACAGCTTCAGATTCTCTCTCTCCCTCTCTCTCTCTGCCCCTCCTCCACTCATGCTCGCTCTTCCTCTCTCAATAAACAAACATTTTAAAACAAATAAATAAAGTGTACATGGAAAGCAAAAGGCTTAGAATGATTAATACAATCTTGATAGAGAAGAAGCAAATGTAAAGACTAATTATAAAGCTACAGTAATTAAGAGAGTATGGTATTGGCACAGGGATCTATGGCATAAATAGATCCATGGATCAATGTGCTGCACTGTTTAATATGGTGCCTACAAGCCACATATGGCTGCTTAATTAAAATTAAGTAACATCAACGATTTATTTCCTCAGTCATACTAGCCATGTATCAAGTGCTCAGTAGCCATACGGCTACCATACTGGAAGGACAGATATCAAACATTTCCATTACCACAGGAAGTTCTGTGGATACCACTGGGAGATTTCAGAAACTCACACAAATATAGGTGCCTGATCTACAATAAAGACAGCACTGCAAAGCTGTAGAGAAAGGGCATTCTTATCAATGAATCATTGGTTGTTAGAGGAACTGGATATCTACACAGAAATAAGTGAACCCTGGCCTCCCCAACTTCACATATTAAACAATAATCTATTCAGAGAAGATTGAAGTTCTAAATGTGAACGATAAAACAATAACATCCCAGATGAAAAACCTAGGAGGGTATCGGCATGACTTGAGTGTAGACACAGATTTCTTAAATGGGACACAAAAAGCACCAATCATAAAGGAAAAGTTTGACATATTGGAATAAATTAAAACTAGAAACTTCAATGGAAACAACAGTAATTGAATAAACAGACAAGCCCTAAGGCAGTGGAAGATATTTGCAACATACGTGGTAGACAGAATAATGCCCTTCTCCAAGATATCCACATCCTAATCCCTAGAACCTATGAATATGTTACTTCACATGGAAAAAGTGACTTTTCAATATGGTTAAGTTATGGATCTTGAAAGGAGATTAGCTGGATTATCTACGATGGTCCCAATGTATTTATAGGATCCTTATATGGGAAAAGGAAGGTAGAAGAGTCAGAATCCAAGAAGAAAATGGGATCGCAGGAGCAGAAGTTGGAATAATGCACCTTGAACGTGGAAGAAGGCGCCATGATTCAAGGAATGCTAGCTGGAAAACTCTAGGAAATGGATTCTTCCCTAGATCCTATGTAAGGAACACAGGAACACTGACACTTGCTTTTAGCCCAGCCAAATGGATTTCAGATTTCCAACCTCTAGAATGGTATGATAATACATTCATGTTGTTTTTTTTTTTTTTTTAATTTTTTTTTTCAATGTTTTTATTTATTTTTGGGACAGAGAGAGACAGAGCATGAACGGGGGAGGGGCAGAGAGAGAGGGAGACACAGAATAGGAAACAGGCTCCAGGCTCCGAGCCATCAGCCCAGAGCCTGATGCGGGGCTCAAACTCACGGACCGCGAGATCGTGACCTGGCTGAAGTCGGACGCTTAACCGACTGCGCCACCCAGGCGCCCCACATTCATGTTGTTTTAAACCACTAAGTTTGTAGTTATTGTTAGAGTAACAGTAGGAAACTAACAAAATATATAACCCCAAAAGAGCCTGTTTCCCAAATGATATTTATAAAAGAAAGAAATATCTATAAATAAGAAAAAGTGGACAAGCTAAAAAGTGGAGGGAAGGGAAAAGAAAGCTTGAATAAGCTTACTAATAAAGGCTTGTAATATATACAAATCAATAGCTATAGGAAATGGTGGTCATTATTCAACTTCACTGGTCAACAAGAAAATGTAACTAAAACTACAATAAGAATAGATGGATATATATGTGATAAATTGCATAGAGTAAAATGTTAATTGTAGAACCGAAGTTGATGGTTATATGGATGGTCAGTGTATAAATATTCCAACTTTTCTGTATGCCTAAATATTTTTTCAAAATAAAATGTTGGGGGCGCCTGGGTGGCTCAGTCGGTTAAGCATCTGACTTTAGCTCAGGTCATGATCTCACACTCCGTGAGTTTGAGCCCCACGTCGGGCTCTGTGCTGACAGCTAGGAGCCTGGAGCCTGCTTCGGATTTTGTGTCTCCCTCTCGTGCTGCCCCTCCCCTGCTCATGCTTTGTCTCTGTCTCAAAAATAAATAAAAACATTTAAAAATAAATAAATAAATAAATAAATAAATAAATAAATAAAACAAAATAAGATGTTGGGAGGAAATCACATGAGATCACTACATACCCACTAGATGAGCTAGTATAAATGAAAAAGTCTGATTAAACCAAATGATGGCTTGTGTGGAAACTTTTGGAACTCACGTACACAGTTGGTAGAAGCAGAGATTGGTACAACTACTTCAGAAAACTAGTTGAGGGGTGCCTGGGTGGCTAAGTTGAGTGTCCGACTCTTGATTTAAGCTAGGTCATGATCTCACGGTCGTGAGATAGAGAGTCCCATGTCTGGCTCCATGCTGGGTATGTGGCCTTCCTGGGATTCTCAATCTCTCTCTCTTTCTGACCCTCCTCCCTCAAAATAAATAAACATTAAAAAAAAAAAAAAACTAAACTATTTGAATGTACCTACATACTTTATTTTCACATTTTACAATCCATTCCAAAGTGACCATCTAACAAATGTGTACATGAGTACACCAAAAATCATGTTCAAGAATGCTAATAGTTGTACTATTCATAACTGCCAAAACCTGGAAACAACCCAAATCTCTTTCAATAGTAGAATGGATAAGTAATAGCATATTCATATAACGGGTATACAATAATAAAAAGAGTGAACTGCTGATATGCATAACAACCTGCATGAATCTCAGAAATATTACTTTGAGGGGCGCCTGGGTGGCTCAGTAGGTTGAGCATCTGACTTCGGCTCAGGTCATGATCTCGCAGTTCATGAGTTTGAGCCCCGCGTCGGGCTCTGTGCTGACAGCTCAGAGACCGGAGCTGCTTCAAATTCTGTGTCCCTCTCTCTCTCTGCCCCACCCCTGCTTGTGCTCTGTCTCTGTCTTTCAAAAATGAATAAACATAAAAAAAGAATATTACGGGGCGCCTGGGTGGCGCAGTCGGTTAAGCGTCCGACTTCAGCCAGGTCACGATCTCGCGGTCCGGGAGTTCGAGCCCCGCGTCGGGCTCTGGGCTGATGGCTCAGAGCCTGGAGCCTGTTTCCGATTCTGTGTCTCCCTCTCTCTCTGCCCCTCCCCCGTTCATGCTCTGTCTCTCTCTGTCCCAAAAATAAATAAATGTTGAAAAAAAAAAAGAATATTACTTTGAATGAAAGAAGCAAGGCCCAGAAAAGAACACAGTACATAATTCCACTTATATGAAGTTCAAGAAGAGGCAAAACAAATTCATGGTGTCAAAAGCCAGGGTAGTGTGCTTACATTGTGATAAGTTAGAACTATGTGATAACTATAATTACGATTTGGACATACTTGAGATACTTTTTAAAAAATTTTTTTAAATGTTTATTTATTTTTGAGAGAGAGAGAGCACAAGTGGGGGAGAAGCAGAGAGAGAGGGAGACACAGAATCCAAAGCAGGCTTCAGGCTCTGTCAGCACAGAGCCTGATGCGGGGCTCAAATTCACAAACTGTGAGATCATGACCTGAGCTAAAGTCGGACACCTACCGACTGGGCCACCCAGGCGCCCCTGACTTGGGATACTTTAATGAAAGTTTATCTTAGGGGTACCTGGCTGGCTCAGCCAGTAAAGCATGCAATCTTGATCTCTGGGTTGTGAGTCTGAGCCCCTATGTTGGGCATAGAGCTTACTTAAAAAAAAAAAAAAAAAGGTTTATCTTAAAAATAAACATTGGAAAAATAACTAAAAATCCTGGATTTCTATAAAGCAATAATAAACAGAAAATATATTTTATTTGTTTTGTTTTATTTTAGAGAGAGAGAAAGCATGAGTGGGGAGGGGGCAGAGGGAGAGAGAGTCTCAAGCAAGTTAGTGTGGAGCCCAATGCAAGGCTCAAACCCACAAACCATGAGATCATGAGCTGAGCCAAAATCAAGAGTCGGCTGCTCAAATGACTGAGCCACGCAGGTGCCCCAAAAAGTAGATTTTAAAATAGAAAGATGGCACTCACAACAGCAACAAAAACTATATGGCATCAAGAAATAAACCTAAACGTTAAACCAAGACCTTAAATATGCAGAAACATCTCATGTTTATGAATATAAATACTCAATACTGTAAGGATGGAATTTCTCCCCAAAATGATTTATAGATTGAAGGCAATTCCAACCAAAATCTCAACGTAACTTTTCATGAAAGCTAAAAAGATTTTACAATTTATATAGAAGAAAAAAGTACCGAAAATAATGAAGAGACTGACACTAGCTCTTTGTTGCTGGCCAAGATGAAGTAAAGTAATGATACGCAGCCTCTCCCACTGATGACAGATAAAAATCTTAAATAGCATAT